GTATCTTGTTTTTCAAAAATTGCTTATTTTTTAAAAATAACAGTACATGCTGGGTAACAATGTAAACCTCCTCCCATCCCAGCTGCCATTCCCATCATGACTGGGGAGGAATGTTTACATGCATCCTATACTCTCGAAAAGATGCCCAGATTTCACACTGCAACAGATAAAATCGACTTGCATTTATGCATATTTTCCAAGTCCCTACCTGTAATTCCACCTCAACTACAGTCACATTTATTGAACACTTACTATGTGCCAGGTACCTAAGTAAACTGCATGTATTAGACTAATTTAATCTCCACGGCAACCCATGATAGATATTATTATGATCTTTACTTTACATATGAGGAAACTGAGGCACACAGATTTAAGTAACTTCAAGGTCACACAGCTAGTGGCAGTACTGGGATTCAAACCCAGATCACGTTGTCTCAGGGCCCCTGTGCTGACACTGTTTTCAGAATGCATGTGAGCAAAATATTATCATGAAGATAATTTGCTCTACCATATTTTATCATTTGCAAATGATAGCATCTTGTTATTAATAATCAATGACTTAGAATGTATCTCACAGTTGGTGGGGCTCACTAGATATTCACAGAACTTCACCAACACATAAGAACTTCAGACAATGTCTTGAATAACCCCAAATATCTAATGCTTTAAACTTAACTAGTGAAAATGGCTTGAGAATTTATTTCTTCCCTACCCAAAATTATGGAAAGTAAAAACTTTTTAGCTTTTCCATTAATTTTCAGTAAGAAATTATTGCAACAGTCTTTTTTTTTTCTATATTTCTATTAGAGTGAAGGTCTTTATGGTATGAAAACTGAATATTCTACTCTTAAAATGTTTATTATCAATGAATCAAAGCTCTTTCAAATCCTGATCTTTCCTGAGAAAAAAGAAAACCCAAAAGTCAAATACCTGGCCTGAGCCTCCAGGACTGTGGGAGCGAAAGACAGAGCTCCAGCCTTCTGATGTAAAAACTACTACATACTCTACTGGAAAAGAAAAACTGCTTTGAAGAACTAATTAAAATGAGAAGTTTTAAGTGTCTCAGATGTAAAATCATGATTATGTAAAAGGTACTTTCAAGGTAAATTCAATTTTCAGAACAGCACTTGAACTAATTTAGCCTCTTAAATATGTCTTTTCACGGAAGATATCAATAGCAGAGAAAATGTTTTATGAATTATAATAATGTAGCTTTATGAATGATATTCAAAAGGCATATCAGAAGGAAATGGAAAGATAAATCAAATACAATTTTATACAAAAAAAACTTCCTTTACTTACCTCGTGTTATCTTCTGAAAGCAAATCATAAAAGGTAGGCTTATTTTTTTAATGTAATTTTGTTCACCTTTAAAATGTGATTGCATTTCAAAGTAGATTCTGTTTTAACAACTTCCTTTCTATAAAACATTTAAAGACAAAGTCAAGCAATGCCATCTACAGGGGGCCTTTAGAACAACAGATGTTTCTATAACCCATACTCTTCTTTAAATTAAAATACCTATAATCTGATGTAATATCATATTTCGCATCACTTAACAAGAAAATTTTCAAGAAGGACAAGAAAAAATGAAAAGATATGCTGTGTAAAAAAAAATTCCCACTAATATTCTGGATTAATAGCTCTTAATTAAAAATAACCTAGGCCAGGGGTGGTGGCTCATGCCTGTAATCCCAGCATTTTGGGATGCAGAGGTGGGTGGATTGCTTGAGGTCAGGAGTTCAAGAGAGCCTGACTAACATGGTGAAACCATCTCTACTAAAAAGTACAAAAATTAGCCAGGTGTGGTGGTGGGTGCCTGTAATCCCAGCTACTCTGGAGGCTGAAGCAGGAAAATCGCTTGAACCTGGGGAGGCGGAGGTTGCAGTGAGTTGAGATGGCGCCATTGCACTCCAGCCTTGGCGACAGAATGAGACTCTGTCTCAAAAAAACACCTAATTTCATTTCCAACTTCATGAAACATATGATCCATGGACCATTGGTTATAAACTGTAGCAGATTAAAATGCAAAGCTATGCAAGCTTTTAACCTTTAAAGACGTTTAAAATTATAACTAGTGTACAGAAGAGAATCAAATCATTGGAGAGTAAACCTGCAACCATTTTTAACTGCCAAATCCCCCTTCCTTCTTGAGGAGCATCATCTTTTCCTTCTTGGAAAAGGTTCTCTAAATTTTCAGACTATATTTATAGTCTATTTCAGTTTCCACAGCTCAGTCCTGTTTATTTTAAAACCTCCTATTTCATACAAGATTCCATAACGGGTTAAAAATGGGTTTTTGTCCGTATGTACTATAGGACCACTCCAATCACAGATGGTTTGCTTTTTATGTACTTTCTTCTTTCTTTGCTCTCTTCTGCTTGGGAAGTAGACGCTAAAAGAGGTTTCCTTGTTGCAGTGGTTCTCAATTTAAGGCTAAACATTAAGACCATCTGGAGCCCCTTAACAAAAATACTATGCCTCTGATTAAACTGGGATGGGGCCTGAGCACGGGTTTTACGTGCTTTTAATTTTCCAGGTGCAGCCTGGTTTGAGAAACACTGCCTTACTGTGGGGTTCCACCCTTTCCCTAATTGGCTATGACTGCATTCTGATAAGTGGTTGATGGGCTCCGTTGTGCAGAGGCAATGACACTCGCCCAGACACCATGGCATTGCAGTCCCTTGGGATTTGAGAATTATCTATCTTGTGGCTGATCCCCAGTTAGAGGCATCACCTCATCTGTTGCACCTGCCTTTTAAACCACGTCCCCCGCCGCTCTTCATGTTGTTGCAGAAGTCTTCTGGCCCTCAACTCACGCATCATTTCTCAGGCTGGTAGGGTGCATCTTCAATACCCCTCAGCCTCACAGTTCCCTCCCACTCCTCCAATTCTGTCTCCATGCTTTGGAATCTGCTGCTGGTGGGTAAACACAAATTTAACCAGAAAGAGAAATGTTGATCTCCCATACTTGCAAGCATCTTGAATCCCAAGTTACTTCCTCAGGCCTTCCTCCTGTGTTTTTTTTTTTTTTTTTTGTTAGGGTCTCTTATCACCCAAGCTGGATTGCACTGGTGCAATCATGGCTCAATGCAGTCTCGACCTCCCTGGACTCAGATGAACCTGCCACATTAGCCTCCCTAGTATGGAAGGGACTATATGCATACACCACCACACCCAGCTAATTTTTTGTATGTTTTGTAGAAACAGGGTCTTGCTGTGTTGCCCAGGCTGGTCTCAAACTCCTGGGCTCAAGTCATCCGCCTGCCTTGGCCTCCCAAAGTGCTGGGATTATAGGGGTGAGGACCTCACCCAGACTTCCCCTGTGGCATGTGAGTGCAGGTGCAACCTGTTACCTCCCCACACTCAAAAGCCCAAAAGAGTAAATGACAAGGCCTAACAATGGACTCCTCCAAAAGGGGGCCTCTTCCAGGGCTCCCCAGCTGTCTGTGGAATAGTGGTTGGTGATGGAGCATGTTCTCTGAACTGGTGCCCTTCAGGAAGCCCTGTAGCATTCACTGGTCCTAGCTACCGCTGGTCTAATCTTAGAATGTGACGCTTGGTACTTTATGACTTCAGTTTTGGCCTTATTCCAGAACAGGAAAGATAAACCCTATGTTATGTGTTTTTTTTGTTTTCTTTTGAGACAGAGTCTCACTCTGTTGCCCAGGCTGGAGTGTAGTGGCATGATCTTGGCTCACTACAGCCTCTGCCTCAGGGGTTCAAGTGATTCTCCTGCCTCAGCCTCTGGAGTAACTGGGATTACAGGAACATGCCACCATGCCCAGCTAATTTTTGTATTTTTAGTACAGACAGTTTCACCATGTTGGGCAGGCTGGTCTCCAACTCCTGACCTCAGGAGATCCACCCACCTCTGCCTCACAAAGTGCTAAGACTACAAGTGTCCGCCACCACACGGGGCCTATTGACTTTCAATTACTAATTACCTCTATAGTCAGTTAGTACTTAGGTGAGTACTCCAGAAGCAGATAGAGAGGAATGTATGCAAATGATTTATCAAGATGGTAAGTAAAGAAATGGGAATAGCAGGACAGGAATGGGGAGGAAGTCAAGCAAGAGTATAATTTTGGCAAAGCTGCACAGAGGCCCACTTCAGCCTGATTCTTTCAGGAAATGTGAGTGGAATTTTCATTTTTCTGAACTAAAAGGGCTGGGCTTTCATACAGTAAAATCAAGGCGCAATTCAAGCCAAAGACCCACAGATAGTATGTATTAAAAGACAGAGCCAGGTACTTGTAAGCTCAAGGCTTGTAATACCAGTACTTTGGGAGGCCAAGGTGAGCGAATCACTTGGGTCCAGGAGTTTGAGACCAGCCTGGGCAATATGGTGAAACCCTGTCTCTACAAAAATTATAGCAAAGTTAGCCAAGCATGGTGATGCACCTGTAGTTCCAGCTACCAAGGAGGTTGAGGTGGAAGGATCTCCTGAGCCTGGGAGGAATAGGCTGCAGTGAGCCAAGACTGTGACACTACTGCACTCCAGCCTGGGCAACAGAGCAAAACCCTGCCTTAAAAAAAAATAAAAATAAAAACACAAACACACACACACACAGAAAGCAGGATAGCATAAAAATTGGAGGAGGGTGAAAAGACATTTGATGAACCTGGGTGCACTGATATAGTCAATGTCAAACTTATTTTTACAAATTTCATGTTATAAAACAAGCTAAAAAGTGGTCATTTGTCCTAGACTTCATTAATAACAGCTAGCACTATCTGTACCTCACAAAGCACCATACATTTAAGTTACACTGCCTTGTAAACTGCTTAATAAAATGCTAAAGGCAGTATGAACAAAGTATTTTAGGGAAAAGAGAAAAAAAAAACCCAGCAAAGGAAACTTTAAAGACTGAATGAGCTATTTTCTTGACTTTTAACCTTAATGTTTCTATATAGAGCTGCTTTTGCTCTTTCTGGAAAGCAGTTACTTATTTAGATGTTCACTTTCTTCAAAGGTATTTCTGAAATTCACAAAGTCACAGGGTCTCAAAAACAATGTTTATTTTAACACATAAAATGTACCATCTAGCACCAATGCCTGTAAATACCAGAATTCCATCCGGTTACTACTCTTTGGAATAGGTATGATTAAAGCCCTTGACAGATTACGGTATAAGAGCAAATGGCTTCATGATAACATAAAACAGAGACACAAAATAAAAATTCATTTGGTATATACATATAGATCTACATTTGTAGTTATTCAAAAACCTTTCACTGTTTCAAGTAAACAAGTTAATGCCAGTATTTTTAAGCCAGATTTTCCTGGAACATATACATAAAGCAACATGCACGAGCCAGGTAAGTACTCAAGCCTTAAGCTGGTCTTTCTATTCTCACTCTATTAAAATGAAAAATCTGTAAAGATGTATTTTGTTTCTCCAATCTTCTGATTTGTGTTCTAAGCAACTCATTACAGTATAACTTACTGATTAAATCACATGCATACATATTGTAAGGAAAAGAATAAAACTTTGGCCAATATAAGTAGACAACACAATATCTCAGTTCTTTTTAAAATTAAAAGAACAATTAAGAATTAAAGACGTTTTAAAAGAAATGAAAGATACAAATGATAAATACTGCATAATTATGCACAAAATGAAAACCTTTAAAATTTTGAAGACAAACTAAAATTTATCAGTTTGGATTTAAAACATTATTATACAATAGTGGATAGTTCTCTTTAAAAATTTATCTCTAGTTTCCTGTGAAAAGTCAAGTCAACCATGCTGGTTCACTGCTTTTGGCAGATTTTGGCCTCACCTCAATACCAATTTTTATTTGAATAACTGATTCTCAACATTTATTTTAAACAGAACTTGATGCTGAATTAAGTAACCTAAGCTGGATTCAGGGCCACTGGCAGGCAGGCAGGCAGGCATTTTTCATATTGCAGGCAGCCCATGGTGGTTGTCATCTATACATCGGATCTCTAAGGATGTGCTGGAAAAAATCTGTGAACACAATCTTCCCATGCTGTATTCACATGCTCCATTCACATCTTTAGCTTACCCAGGTTGTTAGAGGCTTGGGTAAGATGACTAAAGGCTTCACGATGGAAATTTCTATAAGAAAAAAAGGAAACTTAAAAGATTGATTTACCACAAATTATTTACTGGGTATTTAATAATGCGTAGCATGCCTAACAGTGGCTACGTGCAATTTAAGTGGACACCCATTCATGTTTATAGATGACTCTTTGCTGACACCTAACAAGGAACTGAAGAAAGAACAGATGCACTGGACATTATAAAAGTGAAAATATGCCGGGCGCGGTGGCTCAAGCCTGTAATCCCAGCACTTTGGGAGGCCGAGGCGGGTGGATCACAAGGTCAAGAGATCGAGACCATCCTGGTCAACACGGTGAAACCCCGTCTCTACTAAAAATACAAAAACATTAGCTGGGCATGGTGGCGCGTGCCTGTAATCCCAGCTACTGAGGAGGTTGAGGCAGGAGAATTGCCCGAACCCAGGAGGCGGAGGTTGCGGTGAGCTGAGATTGCGCCATTGCACTCCAGCCTGGGTAACAAGAGTGAAACTCCATCTCAAAAAAAAAAAAAAAATATTTGTGCTTCAAAAGACACACCATAGGCTGGGTGTGGTGGCTCACACCTGTAATCCCAGCACATTGGGAGGCTGAGGCAGCAGATCACTTGAGGCCAGGAGTTTGATACCAGCCTGGCCAACACAGTGATACCCAATCTCTACTAAATATACAAAAAAATTAGCCAGACATTGTGGTGCATGCCTACAGTCCCAACTACCTGGGAGGCTCACACAGGAGAATTACTTGAACCTGGAGGCAGAGGTTGCAGTGAGCCAAGATCGTGCCACTGCACTCCAGCCTAGGCGACAGAGCGAGATTCTGTCTCAAAAGAAAAATAATAAATTAATAAAAGAAACACTAACAAGAAAGTGAAAAGACAACCCACAAAATGGGAAAAAGTATTCACAAATCATGCATCTGGTATCTAATATTCAGAATGTATAAAGAACTCTCACAACTCAGAAGTTAAAAAAAACAAATCAATCTGAAAATGGGCCGAGTATTTCTTCTAAATACAGAAAAGATACATCATTAGAGAAATGAAAACCACAGTTGAGAGACTCATATCCATTGAGATGGCTATAATTAACAAGTGTTGGTGAAGATGCAGAGAAAACTGGAACCCTCATACACTGCTGGTGAGAATGTATAATGGTATGGTAGATTTGGAATACAGTTTGGCAAGTCTTCAAAAAGTTAAACAGAGTTCCTATGTCACCTTGCAATTCCTCTAGGTATATACTTAAGAGATCTGAAAACATGTTCACACAAAAACTTCTAAATGAATGTCCATAGCAGCATTATTCATCTCATCAATGGATGGATAAGGTGTGGTACAGCCATAAAGGAATAGTATTCAACCACAAAAAGGAGTTAAATGCTAATGTGTGCTACAATGTAGATGAGGCTTGAGAGTACTGTGCTGAGTGAAAGACGACAGACACAAGAGGCCAGATAATATGTGACTTGTTACATGACATGTGCAGAATAGGCAAATCCGCAGAGATTAGTGGTTGCCAGCAGCTGGGGACAGGGGTAACAGGGAGTGACTACTAATGGGTAAGAGGCTTCTCTGAGGAGGTGATAACATGGTTTAAAATTAGAAACTGGTGATTTACACAACTGTGTGAATACACTAAAAACCACCAAACTGTACACCTTAAAAGGGTGAATTTTATGGTATGTGAATTACATCAACTAAATAGGTTTTTTTGACAAAAATTAAAAAAGCATTGTGGTGCATGCCTGTAGTTATGTATGCTATAGGTATGCGCCACAATGCCTTTGTAAATGAATG